TTTTTTAAGTCGGTTAGGATAAATAGTACATTAAAGCAGGTAAGTGTTAGTTCAATAAATAATAAAATTATTATTTTATTTTTAATTTACAAGTGAGATTTTTTGACAATTTCTCCTTCTTTATGAGACCGGTGAAAAGGGAATATTGAAAAATAAATTGACAACATTGATAAAATATGGCGGCAATTAGTTAGGTCAAAAACGTTAATAAATCGAATAATGTAATTTTTAGTTACTTAGCGATGGATAAGTGATCTGTTTACTACTTTTTAACCGTCATTTATAATTTTAGCACAATTTCATCGAGCAATTGGCCATCTTTGCAGTATACTTTTTTGTTTACAATTTTATTTTGTAGCGTGCATGTAGTGGATGCATTCCATTCCAGTGTAGTGACCAGTTCACTGTAAACTTTTGGGCCGCTTTTCGTGAACTGACACTCCATCTAGACATTATATAATGGAAGCCTAAATCCTAACGATTTAATTAATGGATCTCCTCAGCATTATAGACATAAAAGCAAATTATTTTGCTAAAAGGTACCTAAAGGTACGCTTATGTTCGTAAACCGTAACTGCACGATAAAATAGATAAGTGAATGAGATCGCCTATCACTCCACAATTAGGTATTACTGACGTGGAGATTTTTAGCAGTGCCTCGTAACTCGTTCGCCGAGTGGTCATAAGTGCGACTGCCGGGCAAGGGGTCTCGGGCTCGATTCCCGAGTCGGGCAAAATATTACTGGGTTTTTAAATATTCTTAGTAGAAGCACGGTCTCTGGAATTGTGCTCGGTATATGGCAATAGGCTCACCCCCTATTACATGGGACTCATAACATAAATACATAGTGAAAAGTGGGTGTTACATTGTACATTGGTATAATGTGCACCTCTGCCTACCCCTTCGGGGATAAAAATGCCTGATGTTATGTTATGTTATGTTATGTTATGTTATGTTAGATTTTTAGCATCAGGCAGCATCAATTCTGATAATGTTTATGATGGTTGTAGTTTCATTATTAATTATTCGTATATTTATCTTCAGAGCCGCATTATCCCTAAAGCAAAGTAGGCACATATCTAAGGCGCCAGGTTGCCCACGTCCATATCATGTCGAAAGGACCGGTTCTCGTCCGATCACCGAAGTTAAGTAACATCGGGCGCGGTTAGTACTTGGATGGGTGACCGCTTGGGAACACCGCGTGACGTTAGCCTTCGGACTCGCGGAGAAGCTAACGGGTTACCACCGGGGTTCCGGCTCGAAGTGCAGGAGTAGGAACGTGGTGGTTTTTAGTCAGTAAGAGTCTGACACTCCCTCCCGGCTCACCCGGGCAGGCAGTCATTCGATGACTTCCCCCCCTTAAAAAAAGGCGCCAGGTAATTAGGGGCGCCCATGAGGTGCTCGCCTCGGGCGCTGTCTCGGTATCATCTGCTTTATGTATGCTTGATCTTTAAAATTAAGTAACATAATTTGATGGGTTTTTTTTTAATGGATATTGTCGGAATACTGAAACGCTACTCAATTTTAATTCGTCGAGTACCGGTTTTGTAGACACAATTAAAGAACAATAGGTTGCGGTCACCGGTGACCGCTTGGTGTTTGACAGTTTAAGTCGTGCTTAAGTATAGTTCTATCTCTACAAATTCTTTGTAAAATGACAGAGATGGCACGATATTTGAGCACGACTTAAAATTGAGTAACGTTTCAGTATTCCGGCAAGAGTGATTCAAAAGGAAGGTTTGATTATGATTGTTATTTGACACGAGAAAACCTTGTCATATATAAAAACTATGAAAATAAATGGGTCAAGAATCATTAATGCTTCAAGTACTGTACTCCAGATTCCAGATGTAGCTTTTGTCGTTACTGAATTTATACTATTGTGTGTCCGTGGTGTACAAAATGTAAAACCTGATCAAAACTTATCAGCTACATTGGACATTAATGGACACAACGTTCACACAGCGGCTGATGCGGTACTTATTATCGTGTTGCAATAAATTTTCCAATTACAGAAGCTCGTGTTAATCAAGGTACGAACAGACTAAGATACTATACACTCAGTGTATAAATCAAATGTATATGTAAGAACACGAGTGTCTGTAATTGGAAAATTTATGGTGACATAATAATTAGTGTTGCATCAACCACCGACTTATGATCCGTAAGTGTGAACCACGTGTGAACTGTACAGACGTTAATTAATGTCTGACATTTATATCAAAATTTGTGTCCTAGTCTCAACATACGCTTTAAAAAATGTTGCCCCATCCTAGGGTCTTTGGGCTCGCTGCCGTTACAGCGGTAAGTCCCCTTTTGAGGAGTGGCTTGAGAGACGCTACGGCGTCCTCACCTACCGCTTGTAATTTTAATAATAAATTTGCACGCCATATACGGCAGGATACGCTGGAAAAAATTTTTACTGTAACACCTTTTGTACCGTATTTTAGTAAATAAACATTTTTGATTTGATTTGACGCAGGTCCTCTCCGGACATGGAAGTTTCGGAAGGCACCTGTGTCTGACCGCCCTGAGGACATGGTGGAACACACTGTAGCAGAATGCCCTGGGTAGGCTGAGCACCGCCGTGCCCTCAGGGAAGTGATCGGCGATGGCAACCTCTCGCGTCCGGGCCTAGTGCAGGTCATGATGCGGAGCGAGGGGGACTGGGATGCCGTCTGCTCCTATTGCGAAGCAGTTATGCTAGTTAAGGAGGAGGCGGGACGCGTGAGGCAGCGAAACGCGGCCTCCTCACAGCTCAGCCATCGCGAAGGACACACCGGGCGTCGGGGATCGCGGGACGATCTCCGGCCACCGTAAGCGCGGGCCTGCGGACGGCATGGGTGGCTCCCCGTCCGACCAGAAAGAGAAACAGACCCGAGCGTACGGCGCGTCGCGTTTCGCGCGCTCCTCAAAGAGCCATCAGATCACCACAGATGGATGATTCGGAGTCGCGGAGAACCTAACGGGTTACCGGGGCTCCGGATCGACGTGCAGGAGAAGGAACGGGGTAGTTTTTAGTCAGTAAGAGTGACACTTCCTCCCGCCTCACCCAGGCGGGAGAAGTCATTCGACTATATTCCACCGTTAAAAAAAATCCTAAGATTTTTTCCTGTGTCATAACAACATAATATGATGTTCCATCGGGACGAAACCACGATACGTTGTGCAGGAACTCGTCGCAATGAGATCCCAGTTTATGTGTTTAAGGAGTATCTAAACCAAACTTAAAACTGGTTTAACCCAATCTGTGTTTCTGATTTTATATCTTGTAATGATACATGGTATAGACTTTAGGGAGAAAAATCTTCGAATGACTTCTCCCATCTGGGTGAGGCGAGAATGAGTATCAGACTCTTACTAACCAAAACCCATCCCGTTCCTATTCCTGCACTTCGAGCCAGAGCCCCGGTAATCCGTTAGGTTCTCCGCGAACATGGTATAGACTTGGGACGATGTCTAGTGTCCAAGTAGGTACTAAGAGATTGGTTGGTTATTAACTCGTCGAGTACCGGTTTTGTAGACACAATTATAGAACAATAGGTTGCCGTCACCGGTGACCGCTTGGTGTTTGACAGTTTAAGTTGATACTGTTGGTAAACTGTTCATGCTGGTCTTTTATTGAATTTTTACTGAAGTTAAGTTTATCATACGAAAATAAAAATAAAATGTAACTAACAAATTCATTAGAAAATGATAATAAATAAAAGAAAAACAAAAAATCTATACAGAACTAAGTAAGTCTCTTTCTCCTGTGTTGTGCGAGCGTTTACAAACATACAAGTTCACATACACAATGACACCCAGACCCGGAACAACAATTTGTGGATCACACAAAGTGTTGTTCCGTGCGGGAATCGAACCCCCGACACGTTGCACGGCAGCCGGTTGCCCAGCCACCGCACCAACCGTGCAGTCAAAATATTAACAAAGCGGCACGTAATAACCTACTTTAATTTTTGAGATACCCACATTGGTGAATAATTTATTTGGTAAATACCCACATTGTTAACTAATCTGTGCTAATATTATAAAGAGGAAAGATTAGTACCTATTTTTGTATGTTTGTAATGAATAGGCTCAATAAGTACTGGGCCGATTTAAAAAATTATTTCACCAATAGTATGCTACATTCTTACAATTTGAACAAGGCTGCATTTCATTATGAAAAAAATTAGGGATCCTTGGTTGAACAATGTAACCGAAGGTGTAGAAAAATTAGTCTTAAAATGTCTTTCGTCGAATGCGCTGCCGAAACTATTAGCGATAGAACAAAATAATGTACAATAATATTGAAGAACATTATAATGTCTACAAAAAACTCCGCGGTAGCATATGTCCAACTATTGTAGTTATGTCACTACAACAGTCCAAATTTCCAAAAATAAATATTTGTCTACCTCGTGTGAAGCTGGGACGGGCTGCTAGTTAATTATATTTCAGTAGAAAAATTTCAATGTACCGCCCGCATGCTCATACTCTGTCGGTACTTTAATTTTAAGTTATCATGTTTTCTCATATCTTAAGTGAATTTAATTATTTTTATGAGGAATAAAATTCTTAAATCAGATTGTTTATCGAGCTATAATTTTTTAACTCCTGTAGGTCAAAATTGTCTGATTATAATAATTCAAAAGTTTTACATGCCTAATTTGTTTCATCTCTCAAGGACGATATTGTTCATTAATGCTCATATTTATTTTTTATATAAATACCTAAGTAGGCACTTTTTTTTTAAAGGGGGAAAATCATGGAATGACTGCTCCCGCCTGAATGAGGCGGGAGGGAGTGTCAGACTCTTACTGACTAAAAACCACCCCGTTCCTTCTCCTGCACGTCGAGCCGGAGCCCCGGTAACCCGTTAGGTTCTCCGCGACACCTAAGTAGGCACTAGGCAGTAAATATTTCTGGTTAAAGAAGAGGGATGAAATAAAGCAAACGAAGGAGTTACGTAATATTATATTGTTTATTTATACAAACAAAAATAAAACTACACGTTTTGTCCTAAAGCATATTTTAATAAAAAACAAAAGATTGACTGTTTTCTACTTGATGGGCAGAACTAGGGTTTGCGGAACAGATTGCGGTGTGGTGTGCTGGTTCGTTCGTTCGATGTACGTCTGATGCACTGTGTGAGTTTCATGTGTTGCCCCTGGATTGGAGGTGGTGATCACCTGCTGATATTGAACAGGTGGAAACTCCACGAATTTATCTATCGTGTTACCTAATATCGTTAACTTACTAGGCCCATTCGTCTGTATTACGTTAGGGAAGAACTTGGCTTCGTTCATCTCGTTCAACTGCAACAGTTCCTCAGGCGAGATATCTGCGTTCAATGTGTGGACATATGTGATCTGCTCATTCAAACTCATGTTCTGCTCATCAAGAACCTTCGCTTGAATTAAATCTCCATCATATAACGTTAATTTCAATATTTCTTCTTTGGGGAAGCCCTGTAGATTCGGTGACACCTCTGTTACATTGGACACAACTATCAGTTCTTGTAACAGCTTCAAGGGATCAGCGTTCAGGTTAGGGTTCTCCACTAGTAAGGTCTTCATGTTCGATATGAAGTTCAATATTGGCAGTCTATACTTCACGTAATATACGGGTTGATAGATCAGGGGCTTCGCGTGTTTCAACATGTATGTCAACTCGAGGACACCTAACTCCCGCTCGCCCAGTTGTAAAATCTTCAATATTTTATTGACCAGTTCGTTATTAGATGTTTGATCTGGGTTTAATAGCCCGTGACTCTCCAACCACTTAAAGATTTGCACTAAGTCGTCTTCAGGGTTTGGATTTAATGAATTTAATGGAGATATTGGAGTTATTACGTTTGTTTCTTCTATCGTTTGATATCCACCGTCGGGCGTGCGGTACTCATTGGTGAAGTCGACGGGTGGTGGTATGTGAGTTTCACTGTTTTCAGTCATTACATTCATAGGTTCTTGTGGTTGAGACTGTAGCAATTGAAGATCTGTTTCCGGAAGACCACCTTGATTCAAAAGTGCCAAAATATCAGCCACAGGTTGTGGATGATTCTGTTGGTGTTGTATTACATGGTAAATCAATGTCTGAATTTTATTGTTGTCTAATTGTTGTCCATTTATTTCATCATTCAAAAGTTTTACAAGAACATCTAATAATTCTATAGTGATTAAGTTTTGATGTTTTAGTAAAATCAATATTTCCACATATTTTGAATTCAAAATATTAGGACCATTCTCTATAAGCAAGGACAATAGTAGCAATCCATGTTTAGGAGATCTCAGCAGCTCATTGAATATTATGTGGATAAGATCAAGTCGTCTGGAGTCAATAATTTCATTTTGCGGCGACAAAAACATTAAAATTAGTTCTATAGACTCCGGAATCAGGCGATGTCCATTAATCAAAAGGAAATAAATAATATCAATAGCTCGTTGGTCTATACTACTATTTGGGTATGCTGGCCTCAAAATGTTTAATATTGAATTAAATTGTTGGGGACTTATTCCCATTCCATTCCATTTCGATAATTCTTTGGCGACTATAACCGCTGGCTCTTTATTGTTATTTTCAAGATCTGGTAAGTAGGGAGTCAATAATGTCGTAATAATATTAGTCTGTTCTGGGGTTAGTACTTGAGTTTGTATTTGTCGTATAACATTGAAGGCTATTTCTGCGTATTCGCCTGTTGTAGGTAATCCTGTCATAAATGGATTCAAAATAGATGATATGTAATTACACTCAGAAAGAGATGGTTGTTTATTGACCAAATACAATAAAACGTCAACCAATCTTGCATCGTATTGGCCTATATGATTTGGTTGCAAGTAAGTCAGCAGTGTCTCTGTACAAGCATCTTTCAGCTGCGGTTTTTGTTGTACACTAATAAGAGATAGGAGCAATTCCTTTATTCGCGGGACGTTACTCTGCTTATGAGTTTTCAGGATAGTGGTTATGTGTTTCAGTAACTGTGGATGGAAAATATTAGGATTCAGTTCCACGAGCTTTGTGATGTGGTCATACACTTTACCATTGTTCGGCTTGTCGCTGGTTTGCAAAAGTTTTGTAATGATATTCATTACCCCCTCGGGTTGGATGGGTTTGATGGGTACGTGTTTTATCGGCATAGTAGTATATTTCATCATTGTATCTTTCTGAATTGGTGGTAGTGGTGGGAGAGTGACCATCTGGGGCCGAGGGTATGTATGTTCATTTATTTGTACCGTTTGTATTTTTGGAAGCCGGCTAGGAACTGGTGAGATTGTAAAATGTTCAAGAACTTGATATGTTGGTGGTAGTGGTGGTGGTGGTGGTGGGAGAGTAGCCATTTGGGGTTGAGGATATGTATATTCATTTATTTGTAGTGTCTGCGTTTTTGGAAGCCGGCTAGGAACCGGTGAGATTGTATGTTCAAGAACTTGATATACTGGTGATGCCGCTGGGAAAGTGATCGTCTGGGGTCGAGGGTACGTATATTCATTAATTTGTAGTGTTTGCGTGTTTGGAAGTTGGTCAAGAACCGGTGAGATTGTATGTTCAATAATTTGATTAACTGCTGATGGTGCTGGGAAATTGATCGACTGGGGCTGAGGGTAAGTATATTCATTTATTTGTAGCGTTTGCGGGTTCGGCTGCCGGTCAGGAACCGGTGAGATTGTATGTTCAATAATTTGATTAACTGGTGGTGGCGCTGGGAAATTGATCGACTGGGGCTGAGGGTATGTATATTCATTTATTTGTAGCGTTTGCGGGTTCGGATGCCGGTCAGGAACCGGTGAGATTGTATGTTCAATTATTTGATTAACTGGTGGTGGCGCTGGGAAATTGATCGACTGGGGCTGAGGGTAAGTATATTCATTTATTTGTAGCGTTTGCGGGTTCGGAAGCCGTTCAGGAACCGGTGAGATTGTATGTTCAATAACTTGAGTCACTGGGGGTGTATAAGGTGCGTAAACATTATGTGTGGGTACTTCAAACCCTCCATAACGATCACTTTCAGATGGAAAAGTGGTAGTGACGGGCCTTTGTTTCTGTATTTCTTCTAAAATGTTAAATATTAAAGATTTCATGTCGGGTTGGCCATTTTCGAGGTATCCTCGTGGTCGGTCTTCTTTGTATGTACTTGCAAACTTGTACAAATAATCTCGACATTGTGGTTGATTTTCTATTTCTAGATACGCCTTATATGCTATCTCAATCAGCTTTTCTAAAGCTTCTATACAATTTGGCCCCTGTTCGCCAGGCAGATCATATTGCAATAGTAAATTAGTTCTTGTGTGAGATCGGGGCTTGTTTATCATTTGGTACATTGTTTGGGATTCTGTTGGTTCTGCAGACTGTCTTACAATTGATTCTTTTTTAGATTCGATTACTGACATTTTATTTATTTCTTGATCAATTTGATCTACAATGTTATTTAGCTCTAAGGGTATTTGGGTTACGTACGTTAGAGCTGCCTTAACAATATTTTGGATCATAGTTGGTGTGACGCATATGGTCTTCTCTGCAATCTGCAGCTCGTCTGCAGCATACTGTTGAGGATGTGGTACCTAGAGACGTACAGACATATTTGTTTCATTAGCAAGGATGTCATTCTGTTGACCATACGTCGATATAGTATATTAGGTTTAGGATAAATATTTTCGAAATTCTCTGAGTCCGATTTTCGACGAGGCTTATCCTATACTCGATAACATGACATAACATTCACTTATGTCATACGATAGTGATAATTTCTGTATCGTTTTTCGTCTAATTACACCATTCATGTTATTACAGAAATTATTGTTAATTGGTAAGTCAGGCTGAAAAATCTGATAATCAGCCGAACCAAGACTTTGTTATTGTTATTAATGCGTCGTAGATGACGGACAGATGTTTATCTGAACAAGTAAATCGGGGTGAAACTTGGTACCCAGTAGTTGAATAAATACACTAGCTACTCCCGCGGTTTCACCCGCTCTGTTCAGCTCATATTGATCGTAGCGTGTTGTTTTGTAGCTACTATCCAACACAAAAATAATTTTTCGAATCAGCAGTTCCGGAGATTAGCGCAAACAAACAAACAAACACTTCACTTCTTTAGTTTTCTATAAATATAATAATTATAAGATAAGATACGAAGGAAAGAAAGAAAGAAAGCAGAAAGGAAAGAATGAAAGACCTTGAAAGAATTTGTATTGCTAGGATGTTAAGATTTATCAAGTGCTAGGGTCGTGCTTCGGCACGAATGGCCCGGCTCCATCTACTCCACGGCCTCACAGAAAGCAGGTGTGATACAACGCTTCCATTATGTTCCGTTGAGTAAAACGTCTATATTTATGGTATTGAATATGTTTTCGCCATGTCTTGTGTCGAATCTTTTCTTTCTTTCTTTCTTGATGTATGATGGATCGATTACCATCAGTGGCCTTAATCTGCTACTAGATAAAGTAGCTACAAAAATGTACAACATTGATTCCATGATTGCATCATCAAACATCATAAAACCTAAAAAAAACCTTGTCATAATTTCATATTATAAAATCAATATTGTACAATTTTGTAACAGAGCCGTATTGTCCCCGAGTCAAATTAGGCAAGTGCTTAGGGCGCCAGATCACAGATGGGCGCCGCCGTGCTGCAAGACGTGCGTGCCCATAGAGAGACGACGGCGCCAAAAAAATTAGGGTCGCTTATGACCGCTTGGGCGCTCACTAGTTTAAATTCGTCTCTGAGTAGTAGACTAACTGTCGATTTCAATAACCGACTTTAATGCAAAATCTATGAATCGATTCTTATTTATGACAACACATTATAGGTATATTTTGATTGAAAACAGTTATTGAAATTTGCAGTAAGGCCCCTGGTGGTTCTACGGTCCTATTCTGTGCCATAAAAAATATAAAAATGTTGTACCTGAACTTTACCATCCGAAACCAACAGGATGGCATAATTCTTTAGTTTATAAGTTTGTGGGGTTGGATACCAGGGGATACTCATTATAGTATTGTGAGACGGTTGAAAATAATGCTGCCGGAATAAAAATACTAGTATTATTGTTTACAAATTATAGCACATTCTGTTTTTGTTCATTCTTCTGTGAAAAGTTCGGTATTTTCCCGTTCCCGTGGAATTTTTAAATCTCAATTCTACGCCGTTCTCTATTCTACTTTTACTACTACTACTTCTACTAAATACTAGGTACTTCTATGTTCTCTCTTAATGTTAATGTAAATGCTCTGATTTAGTTACCTAATTCATTGTCTTTATAGTTTACTAGCAGCCCGTCCCGGCTTCGCACGGGGTAGACAATTATTTATTTTTGGAAATTTGATTGTTGTAGTGAC